CAATATGCTGACTCCGTAAACCGCTTAGAGAGGGCTGAAAGCCCAATGAAGCGGTATATAAGTCTAACTTCTATTGCTATTGCTATATGAAGACAATATCACCCAGTTCCCTTGAAAATTGACTATACCAGGATGAGGACAACATTAAAATCTCATCTGGAAGCAACCTATTGAACAAAATAGAACAAAAAGAATCCATTGACTGTACATAATGAACAGCATTCTTGGCGTTAGGGGTTCAAATCTTGCGAGCCATGGTCACCTTTCATAATTGCAGAGCATATAATTGGACTCACCAAATATGATCACTATGGAAGGCATGCCCATTCTTAAAACGGTTGCCACAGTAACCATGCTGACTCATTTATTGTAAAGTAAACTGGTAGAACTACTTCGCCCAATTTTTTTTAAAAAAAATCTTCTCTATGCATTCTGTTTACTCCTACATTGCACCTTTGACTAGTTTTTATATTATGCACATTTACAAACCAAGCATTAGGCTGTGGTCAATATATTATTTTCTAGGGAGGTGCATTTTGTCTATGTGGAATCCAGGAGTATTCTGGGAAATAATGACACCAAAGACAGATGCTTTTGTTTGCATCTGGCCAACTTTATTTTAAATTTCTTTCAAATTTTGTTTTGGTTTGTAAAGGTTGCTTTAATCTTAAAGGTTATTTCAGAAGGGGATGAACATGTACTATGTTTAGGTCCCCAGTTTTATGTTACTTGCACATGTTGATTAAACTTGGCCTCTTTAGGCCTCCTTCTCCCTGCTAACCTATGTATGTTTCCTTCGAGATATTTTATCTTCATGGATTTCTTTTCCATAATATTACATTTGAGTCACATCCAATTTGACAGTATATCTTATATTCTACCCCCTTAGAGGCTGTAATCACCTCTTAGAAAATATGCTGCTTGCTGCTTCAGCAAACAGCAACAATTTGTCACTATCAGCTAAAAGTACATGGGTGCTAACTAATGTAATAATTTGAGTTACTCTCATTCACCTAGCTATATTAGCTTTGTTAAAATGTCTACAGCTTTCTTTTTTGTTGTTCTGCTAGACTTGGTTAACAGAACCAAGTGAACTAAGTATAAACACAATAACAATGACTGGGTCTTTTTTGCACATTTATCTTAAAGTAAGCCTCATTTAATTTGCAAATAATTATTTTTTGAGTATTGTTGCTTGAAATAGCTTTTTATAGCTGTAAAAATAGAATGCCAAGCAAAAGGGTTTATTCATTGTAATATGTACCCGCATGGCTATTTCAATACTTTTCTTAAAGGCATTTCTTTACTGCAATTTATGTAAGTAAAGGTGCACAATCTCGTGACCCGTCAAAACCGCGGTCCACTAAAGCGCACCCGATTAAAGCGCGTACCTGACGTCATCAGCAGCGCCACAAATACGACCGCGGAGAAAAAAGGGCGCTTTAAAAAGCGCTTTTAAAGCAAGCCGATTCACATAAAGGTAAGGGTTAGGTTTAGGGTTAGGGTTAGGATTAGGTTAAGGGTTAGGGTTAGGTTTAGGTTTAGGGTTACGTTAAGTGTTAGGGTTAGGTTTAGGGTTAGGTTAAGGGTTAGCGTTAGGTTAAGGGTTAGGTATAGGGTTAGGTTTAGGGTTAGGTTAAGGGTTAGGCTTAGGGTTAGGTTTAGGGTTAGGTTTGGGGGGGTTAGGTTTAGATTTACGCGTTAATTTTAAGTTTACCGCTCACAGCGTGCTGTTTTCGTCGCGCTGTGATGACGTCACATACGCGCTTTCGTCGAGCGCACTTTAGTCTACCGCGGTTTTGTGGTGGAACCGCACAATCTATCTCAAATAGAAAAAATAGGTAATCAGGGTTTGTGGGGGAAACCCTGATTATATTTGTATGCATAATACCAAAGAGTCCAGTCCTGCACACTGGTCAATTAGAGATTTAAATTCTGTTTTAGTGCTATATGCATTAACCTCAAGAACTTCAACCATTCCTCACCATTCATCAAAATGTAGTTTCTGCTGAAATGACCCAGTGGTTTCTGCTTGCAAAGTAGGATTTAGAAACACAGATGAAATCATGATTAATTCTGGTTTGTGGGGCAAGCCCAAGCAATATAGTTTCAATTTTAGCCAGGAAAGGTAGAGCTTATGAGCTCTCTCATTCTTAAAGCCAAGTTTACATAGCATTTAGAATGTATCTGAATCCAGGAATTGCAAAGAGAAATGTTCAGAGGATTTTATTTTTATTTTTGTCCAAGAAATCCTTCCCATATCTATACAGATGTTTTGAGAGAGATCTAAGAAACAAAGGCAATATTTTCACATACACTACGTATTTTTCTCTTTAAATTCAAAGTGACATTGTATAAGTATAAATTTTAGGCAAAAATTGGAATTTAAGAAGGGCAAGAGAAAGCTTTCAGTGGAGATTTCTTTTATGATGAATGAAAAATCTAATCTTGGAGAGCAAACCACTGCCAAAATCTAAAACCTGAGCTACGTGTATTTTCTATTATTTCAATATAAAAATAGCTTCTGCTTTCTATTGCTTGGCAAAAATTGACAAGCAACCACTCAAAATCTGTTGGTATTAGCTTTAAAGCCTTGGCAAGCCCCAAATTACAGACACAGATTGGATAGCTGAGAAATAGTGCTTTGAATGCTGTTTATTATTGAATTGGCCCAATAAATATTTCACACAATTGCTCCTTTTATTTACAAACATGAAAATCTGAGATTTGAAATTTCATTGCCTCTTTTCCTATAATCGACACTTAGCATTTTGTAATAAGCAGTTATTTTTCTTTCTTTTCTTTAGAAAAGTGCTCCAAACTAGATTTTTGGCTAGGAAAAATACTTTTGAGCAGTATTACCACTTTGCATATATATCCTAGCCAAGAAGTAGTCCTGCAAAGTAGTTTGAAGATTAGAAGCATCAGCATTTTCCCATTAAATCTCTATGTGGTTGCATTTCTTGCATCAGGGAACCATCAGGGAAAAAAAACACGGCCTTTGGGGCCCATAACCTTTCATGTAATATGCCTTGGGAACCCTGTGCCTCCCTCTATGTGGGAGGAGCACTTTGGACAGATGAGTTACATTTGGAAAAAGGGGTCCTAAACACACTAAAAGCCATATCCTTTGAAGATTAAGGTCAAATATTTCATTGCACCCAGAAATCTATCAACTAACATCTGTATTGTATGATGGTGCAGCTCTCACACACGTGGGCTACTGCATTCTGCACCAGGAGCTTTTCTAAAGT